GGGGGGTTTAGGCAGCTCTCTGGTGTGTTATGGCTAGAGACAGAGGTAACAGTGGGCAGTGGAACTCCAGCTCTATTGGAAATGTCATTTTGTCCCTCTGCATCTGTGGGACACCAGGAAAATGTGTCTTTGAAATCCAGACTAGTGTCATTGCTTTACCCCAGAAACCAGACACTCTGGTCCACTCCTGCAGCACAAAGCCAGGGAAAAAGTACCTGTGCAGCCCACTGTTGCCACCATGTGCTCTGAGGTGAGTGAGGAGTGTGCCTGCCTACCTTCTGCTAGTTGCAATGTGTCCTCTCTTCTGGCCTCATGTCACCTGTAGGTAGAATTAGGGGTCTCTGAAGGACAGGGCAGCTCTTCTCCTTGCCTGCATTTTTCTGCTGTCTCTTGCTTTTGTCATCCAGTGAGTGAAAGCTGCATTTTCCCCAGGAGTTTACACCTGATCTCTCTCTCTCTCTCTCTCTGCAGGGGAAGGTTCAGGATGAAGGAACGAGAAGAAATGTGGCAGAAAATAGAGGAACTGGCCCGGCTGAACCCTCAGGTGGGTGACAACTGGGCAATCACCAACCACAAAAAGTTTAAGGGAAAGTGCCGGATTCTTCACCTGGGATGGGGCAACCAGAGATGTAGGTACAGACTGGGGAATGAAATGCTGGAAAGCGGTGCCATGGAAAGGGACCTGGGGGTCCTGGTTGACAGTAAGTTGAACATGAGTTAGCGATGCCCTGGCAGCCAAGAGGGCCAACCATGTCCCGGGGGCATCAGGCAAAGCATCTCCAGCTGGTCGAGTGAGGTGATTGTCCCGCTCTGCTCTGCACTGGGGCGGCCTCACCTTGAATATTGTGTGCAGTTTTGGTCACTGCAATATAAGAAAGATATTAAGCTATTAGAGAGTGTCTAAAGGAGGGCAACGAAGATGGTGAAGGGCCTTGAGTAGGAGCTGTATGAGGAGCAGCTGAGGTCACTTGGTCTGTTCAACCTGGAGAAGAGGGGACTGAGGGGAGACCTCATTGCAGTTAAAACTTCCTCATGAAGGGAAGAAGAGGGGTAGATACTGATCTCTTCTCTGTGATGACTGGTGACAGAACCTGAAGGAATGACCTGAAGCTGTGTCAGGGAAGGTTTAGGTTAGATATTAGAAAAAGGTGTTTCACCCAGAGGGTGGTTGGGTGCTGGAACAGGCTCCCCAGGGAAGTGGTCACAGCACCAAGCCTGACAGAGTTCAAGAAGCATTTGGATGATGCTCTCAGGCACATGATGTGACTCTTGGGGATGGTCCTGTCAGGGCCAGGAGTTGGACTCAATGATCCTTGTGGGTCCCTTCCAATTCAGCATAATCTGTGACTCTGTGACAACAGAACCTAGGATGAATGAGACAAGAATGTGCTGGAGGTCTTAACCTGCTTCCTCAGCCCATGAGAGCAGGCTTTAGCACCCGATCCCAGTCCTGTGCACACTGCTGCAGCAGTGGTCTGTCCCTCCCAAAACCCAGTGTCTTGGGAATGTTGACAGTGTTTTATCAGCCTGGCCTTCTGTAGCACTGACCTCTAAGTAATGCACATACATGTTTATGGGCCATGCTCTCAGCTGCAGCTGTGCATGCAGCGTGCTGTGACTCAGACGGCATTGGTAGGAATGGGTAGGAGAGGATGCTCCTTTCCTGTCTGTGTACCTACTACTACCTTTGTGGGAGCCAGAGAGGGCGGCTAGAAGTGTGCCATGCCGTGTTAGGATGCTGAGGGAGAAGGCATGGTGTTGTATGGAGTGCTGACTCTCCAGTTATCTGTGTTGTCTGCAGTACCCCATGTATTATGCACCTCTACCCTTGCCTTCTGTGTGCTGTATGGAAACAGAGACCCCGACTGCAGAGGATATACAGCTACTGAAGAAAACAGTGGAGACGGAGGCTGTGCAGGTGCGTAGGTGACTAGAGTCCTTCCACAATTGCTCTCAGTTCAGGGTCCAACAGCCAGAACTGGCTCTTTCCAAGTGTTCTGAGGGTAAATGACCCTACTCTTGTCCCTGATCATTAAAAGATCATACTGTAGTCTGAAGAACAGAGTTTATCTAATCTTCCCTCTAACCTTCCCACTCTGGAAAAAGTGTGAGTGGGACTTTTCTCTGTCCTTTTAGTCTGTGTTTGGCTCTTAGCCTGTTCCGCAGCATGCTGCAGTGTCACCCAGCATATTCTAGAGTGGTTGGAGTCAGAGGCTGAAGAGGTGAAGGGTGAAGGGGTTTGCTACTGATCCCTGACTCCTTTGGTTTGTCTGTAGATGCTGAAAGACATTAAGAAGGACAAAGTTTTGCTGCGCCGGAAATCTGAGCTTCCGCAGGACGTCTACACTATAAAAGCCCTGGAGGCCCACAAGAGAGCAGAAGAGTTTCTCACCTCAAGCCAGGAGGCTCTCTGACGGGCTCAGGGGCTGGCCTGGGAAGCTCTGCCCCATCCCTTTCCTCCAGGGGTCATGGAAATGCACTCGGTTCTCATGTATAAGTAAGGAATGAACATGGTGAGCTGTGCCTGTCCTCCACTCCATCTGCATACCTCCAGGGTAGATCTGGTTTTACGTTATAACTTGTATCTCACCACTGTCATGTCCTCCTGCTTTTTCACCTTGGCTGTGCATGCATGAAGGAAGCCTGCCTGACCTCTGATCGTATCAGGCAGGACTCACTTCATTGCAAGCTGCCACCTCTTCTTACTCTGCCTGGAAGCCAGAGCCTTGCTCAGGCTCTGTGTTGGCCAGAGGCAACCATGCGTGGCTCAGCATACTGCTCCAAGCCCCAAGTGCCCATCTCTGCCGTGCCTGCCCCTGTGCTGCCTGTGCAGCTGAGCCCTGTGGTGCTCAGAGGTCAGGCTGAGCTTGAGGCAGGAGCAGAGCTTGTGGAGGCTTTGCTGCCTTGGGGTGCAGCTCCACAGCTGAAGGGTCTTACGTACAGTGGAGGAGATGTTTGCTTCCACCTTTCTTTTTTTCCAAGCCTCTTGTTTTGTTCCTCTGTCAGTGGAGTGGGGGTTTCAGTGCTTCACCACCCCCAGTAAAGCTGGGTGCAAGCACTACATACTGTTGCCCTCTCTTTCGGGCATCCTTAGAAGCTCTCTTGTGGGAAAGTGATTCCTTCAGCTATTTGTGTTGGTCTGTGCTGACTCATCTCCATTCCGATGTCTTGGGTTAATTGTGGGCCCAGAATTAACTTCCCGCTTTGTAACAGGTGTCAGCCACTGAATTCTGCTTTCTTCTTCTACCTGCTCAATTAAAATACTCCTGCAGCTCTCCCTTTGTCTCTGTATCCCACCTTTAGCTCTGCAGTGGCCAGGGTTTCTAGGAAGCTTGTGCTGCTAAAGTCATTTCTGCAAGTTAGCGGAAGCAATGGATACACCTTATGGGGCGTGGCTGAGTTTGAGTGTTTAGTTGTCTCCTTGTCATGATCAATGGCCAAGTGTTACTGCTGAATTGCTTCTGTGGGTGCTCTGACCAAAGTTCACCTTGCCCTGTTACTTTGGCACCCGCTGAGGCCCTTGAGCTGAGGCCCTTGTTAGTTATTACTGGTGCATCAGGGACTCTGCTAAATTAGCATTTAGAGCACACTTGCTGATAGCCCAGGGGCTTGTGCAGCGCTTGGGTGCTACTGTGATCCAGCTTTCACCCCTATTTTTTGTGGTGCAGATTCAGTGCCAGGCCAAGGTGCCACCTCAGAGGCTGGCTTGTGATAGAAAAGGGAGTCCTCCTTGCTGCTTACCTGCTGCACCTGCTTTCTTGACACATAAGCTTAAGTGGGTTTGCAGTAGTGTGGGGAGCTTACGGCATCGGTGCTAGCCTGACACTGTTTGCAGCATCATGGAATGTTGTAGAAGGTTCTAGTGTATCTGCTTGTCCTCACTAGTAAACCATTCCCAGGTCAGAGGTTTATCCTCTCTAATATGTGTTGCTGGTGTGCAACACATCTTTCCTCCAACCCCAACCAGGCTGTTTTTACCTCTGTATCCTGCTTCCCTGCCCTGTGTAGGTCTCTCTCAGCTCAGCCCTCACAAGGAATGCCACCATCTCTTTGGAGCAGCTGGTGAGCGTGTGTGAGATCCCCCCAGTCATGCAGGACCCCACCTCCCCTCCACAACAGGCCAGTTCATCAGGAGACTTTAGAACACCTCAGGGAGGTTATTGCTTACACTGAACATTACTCCAAGCTCATGATCAGCTGCCAATCAATTACCTCACACCTGGCACAGCATGTAGACATGCACCAGGTGATGCCAGATGGTGCACCAGAGTGGCACAGTGGAGATGAGGACTGCTGGGCTCAGGCTGGGCGGGATGCTTCTTCCTTTCGGTGCAGGCTTTCCAACTGGCTCTTAGTATTGTGCTATAAGCCAACACCTCATTTTTAGATTGCTGCAGCATGGTGTGCCCTCACTCAAGCCTGCTTGCTGCTGGGCAGCCTTTCCCTGCTGCAGGCTGCTCTGCCTGTGGAAGGAACAGAGACTTGTGGTGTGCAGAGGCTGACACTCCTGCAGATGGTCTGTCTCTGTTGGCAGCCCCTGAGCCTGGCCAGAGGAATGCTGCTGGAGTCGTGCCATGTGCAGGGACAGGACTCTTAACGCATCATGACTACGTGCCGTACAGCTTCAGTGTTCCCATAGCTTTGTGTGTCTTGTTCTGGGTCAGGGAACTTAGGCTTAGTACCTTCACCCTTTGTTTGCTGCCTATTCATTCCAGTGTCCTGGACACCTCAGAAGGGGACCATGTGAGAAAGGGGGAAGTGTGCTCACCCTCTCACCACATGTATTGCTCATAGGCAGATCTGTATCTGCCACACTACAGCTGCCCCTTGCTCAATACTTGGTTTCTAGCATTAGTGCTGCTCATTTCTGCCTATGCCTTTCCCCATGTCAGCCAAATGGACAGAACTGGAGCTGCCTCTTCCACTTCACCTGGCTTCCTCCTCCCAAGGGAACAAGCAAAACTACTGCATTCACCCCCTGGACACAAGTATTAAGCTGCTTACAGTTCATATGTACATATGGTGTACTTTATTTTCAGTAGAGCATTACATAGTATGAAAGTGTTGGATTTTGTACAGATGTCCCTGTATGTACAGAACTAAATAAAACCAATCTCTTGGAATGACACATCTGGCTCTGCCTCTGATATTCCAACACAGGCCCTGTCCTGGGAGGAGGGGCCCAAGCCTGGAGAGGGATTTCTCAGGTACTGTCAGCACAGGGACAAGTCCAGTGTTTGTCCTGAGGGAACCTGGGCAAAGCCAGCTAAGTCCCCTCGCCCCACATGCACACAGGTATGGAAACCAGTCAGGCTCCTCAGAGGCAGAGGAAGCCAACACAAGGACATCACATTGACTTATGCACCAGCCAGAACCAGGAAAGAGGAGTGGGAAGGTAAATCAGACAATGTCAGTAGGAGAAACTGAAAGGTCGATACTGGCAAGTCCTGTCAGCACCTGGCTTGGAGGCAGCGGGTGCCTGCAGGGTGGAGGGAGGGCTGGGGTTTGCAGCTCCTGTGCTGCAGCTCAGCTCTCACTTCCACTCGGGCCGGGGACCGCCGAGGCTCTGCCGGGCCTGCAGTGTGCGCTGCACCACGTCCTTCCACTGCTCCTCGGAGATCTGGCTGGCCCAGGCGGGGATGCCCAGGGTAGGCAGCTTCACGCTGGCCATCGTCCTCTTCACCAGCTCGACATGCTCTGGGAACAGAGAGGGCGTAAGACCGCGGCGGAGCCCCGAGAGGGCCCTGCCGAACACGCAGTTACCTGCATCCATGGGGATGGAGCTGCGGCTGCTCTGAGCCGCGGCGCCTTCCGCCACCTCCTCCTCCTCCTCCTCGCTGTCCGTCGGCGGGTCGGGCAGGTGCAGCCTCAACATCTGTGGAGAAAAGCGGGCAGCGGGGGTCGGGACCACGGGTGCCCCCATCCCCGTCTCGGCGGGAGGCGCTGGGCGGTACCTGCAGCCGCTCCTGCAGGCCGGGGCCCGCCTCGCCGGGGCCCTGCTCCGGTTCCTGGCTCAGTGGCTGGTACAAGTACCCGCCGCCACCTTCCTCCTCCTCCTCCTCCTCCTCCTCCTCGTCGCCGCTCCACCCCGCCGCGCCGTCAGGGCCCTCCGGCAGCCCGGGCTCCCGGGGACACACGCGCTCCGGGCCCATGCTCGGCGCCACGGCCATGCACAGGGCGCGGCGCCGCGGAGCCGCCGCCACCGCCCGGAACCGCCGCGGCCGCCGCGGGGCACTGTGGGCGCTGTAGTCCCAGCGCGTGCCCCGGGCGGGGCGGGTTGTGCCGCGGGCACGCGCCGCCGGTGCCTTCGGGCGCCGCCATCTCGGCTCGGAACGGGGCCAGAGCAGCGCGGCGGAGCCGCCCCCCAGCGGGGCCGGGGCCCGGCACTCGCGGAAGGGCCTCTCGGGGCAGCGCCGCCCCGGCGGGGGAGGGCACCCGCTGTCCCGGGCGGGGCCGCGCCGCACTACAAGTCCCAGAGAGCGGCGGGCGCAGCCGTCGGAGCGGGGCTATCGAGGCGCCTTGTACGGGTACAGGTACGGGGCTGGGGCTGAGCGAGATCGGCGGCGAAGGCGGGGGAAGCTGCCGGGGCCGTGCTGGAATTGGGGGCGGGTGAGGGTGAGGCCGGGAGGCGCCGCCGAGCCCCTCTGTGAGGGCCGGGGGCGCGGGGCCGCCGCTCTGCCCGGGTATCCTCGGCCGGGCCCGCGGGCGGCGCATGAGGGCGCGGGGCGGCCCCGAGGGGCTCGGGCGGGCGGGGGCGGCCAACGGTGCTGGAGCGTGTCCAGGGAAGGGCAGCGGAGCTGCTGAGCGGTTAAGAGAGTAAGTCCTATGAGGAGCGGCTGAGGGAGCTGGGGGCGTTCAGCCTGGAGAAAAGGAGGCTCAGGGGAGACCTTCTCAATTTGTACAACTCCCTGATAGGAGGTAGTAGCCAGGTGAGGAACGGTCTCTTCTCCCAGGTAACAAGTGACAGGTCAAGAGGAAATGGCTTCAAGCTGCACCAGGGAAGACTTAGATTGGATATTTTAAAAAATTCTTCATGGAAAAGGTGGCCAGGCGTTGGAACAGGCTACCCAGGGAAGTAGTTGAATCACCGTCTCTGGACGTGTTCAAAAACCATGTAGATGTGGCACTTTCAGGACATGGCTTAGTGGTGGGCTTGGCAGTGTTGGCTTAATGGCAGGACTCAGTGATCTTGGTGGTCTTCTCCAACCTTAAAGGATTCTGTGTTCCTACCCATCCCTCTCCTCCCCTGGCATGTCAGGGAGGCTGCCCTTCTGCTTCTCGCCCTGGTGTAACCTCCACCGTGCCTTCTCTCTCCATCTCTATGGGCTCATCTGGTTTCAGCCTGTTTACAGTTTCACCCAGTCTTGGCCATGTTGGCAGGTGTGGGGCTGTGTGCCTGGTCCTCCCCAGCCCTGTGCACCAGGCAGAGGGAAGGCTGGCACCTGTGAGCCTGCCATGTGTGTGTCCAAGCCTAGCAGAACACTGCCTGGGCATCTGTGTCGATGGATCAGCAGGTGCAGAGGAGGAAATGAGTGCAGCCCTGCATAAAGCAAAAAATGCCACACTAACTGTTAGCTCAGCTTTCCTGAGCCTGCTTCTTCCCAAGGGCTGCCCTTGGCATGGCAGAAACGGCTTGACAGGCTGAGACAAATTCCTGGGGGAGAGGGGGTCAAGCAATAGAGAAGCAGCCGTGGGTTTTGGGAGGCAAGGTGAAGAAGATAAGTCAGCTCAGTAGGTACAGAATCTCACCTGGGCTTTGGCCAAAAGTAAGTCAGCAGTGGGCAAAATATTTGGTCAGAAATAAGGAGGTAGTGAGGCTGTCTGCAGGGAGGGACACTGGAATAAATTTGTGCCTGAGCAGCATGGTCTGGGATTCCCATGGCTAACATGAGCTTCCAGATCAGTCTCAGTTAATGAGCTCAGGGGCTGTTCTAGCACCGTCTAGTTTACTGGTGCTGGAATTGCATTGTGACTGTCCAAGCTGCTGAATGTGCAAGCTTGCAGTTTCACACTGCCTTAGCATAAATAGTCAAAGCATCAGATAAATGTCAAGCATGAGTGAAGAAAGCGGGTTGTTCCCATGCTATCTCTAACAGTATGTTGGATGTGCTTGAAATAGAACTGTCTATATGGACTGCTGTGAGCTGGCTGGGCTATTTTAAGTGTTACTAAACCTTGTGGCTGGTGGTGTCTTTTGGGAGACGGGACTGAGGCAGCCACACGGTAGGATTTGCTCTCTGGAGTGGCTTTGCAGGGTCAGTATGCTGCTCTGCTTGGGGTGCAGCTGTAATTCTGGGGGTGACAGAGTGAGTCCTTGAAAATCCAGACCACTTTCTGCTGGGTTTCCCCCTCTTGCTGTGGGAATTGACAGCAGCAAGGCTAATCTGAGCAGCTTTTAGAAATGGCTCTAGGTTTCTTCCTGTGTGCATAGAGGAATGTGAACTCCCTTTGTGCAAAGAAGTGGATCCATGCATATGTGTTTTTGTTCTAAAATTATCACCTGGCTACTGTCTGTGGAGATGCTCAGTAGCTTTTTATCTTGAATGAAGTGTTTTCATAACTGATTGTAGGGATTGAAAATAGTACATCTAAAGCCAATAGAATAAACAGGTGAAAAATCTGACTAAAAACTATCATTACTGGATTGGTTTTTTGTTGGTTTTTTTTGTTTGTTTGTTTGGGGGTTTTTCCTATCTATGCCACTATGCTCAAGTCACCACAACAGTTTTGAAGATATGCTAGTGAGAAATTATTGAGTGATTTCTGGTGATCTCAGACATCTATATGCTGTGCTGGTAGGCTCTTGTGAGGTGTAAGCTGGAGCAGTTGGGATGAAGGTTGTGTCAGGCATTAAATGTATCTTCAGACACCAGCACAGCCAGAGATTTAGAAATGTTGTCTATAGGTGCTGTATTCAAAGGATGCAGAGCTGCCTTAAATCTGATTTTTCTTTTGCTTAGCAGTGAAGTGCTCCAGGTGAATTGCTGTGCTCCCTATGCTGGAAGTCAGCACTGACAAGGAACGAGGGAGATGCTAAAGGACATCCATAGCCACTTCTCTGCTAAGGATGTGTGAGCTTCTACTTGTGCTCAGGTGCCAGCCTGACTGCAGCAACAGAGCCAGTCTGAGGTCACCCCATGGCTGTTGTTGCACCACTTACTTTGAAAGTGTGTACCTGGGCTTGTGGTGCTGTGCATAGTCAGTGGTGGGATCCAGGCATTTCTGTGGGACCACACCTGGTTATTTTGACCACTTTTTAATTTTAGCCTCCATGTGCTTTGTGGTAGAGGAACAACTCATTGCTGGGCTCACTTAATTTCCATCATCATCAGGTACTTCAACAGTAGGTGAAGTGTATCCTGATTTTTAGAAATGCTCTTCTTTCTGGCAGTTAATGACAGGACGTACCAGGGTTTCAAAATTCTCTGTGCTTGACTGTATCTCTGGATAGATTACGACAGACCAGGGAAATGAGGAGTTGTGGACATTGCATGATTGCTGCCTGTATGACTGCAAAAATCGAAGAGTTTTTGGAGAGGTGAAGTGAGGAGCTGATGTGCATCAGTGGAAGCAAGCAGTGGCTTGAACAGAAGCACGTGTGCCCTTCTGCGAAGGAGACCCCGAGTGTGTGTGTACGTTGCTTTTTCCAGTTGAGACTGGGGGAACAGAGGCAGCTGGAGCTTCCTCACCTAAGGTGAGCAAGTATATGCTGAGCTAGCAAAGCATGTGGGAGTGCACTTTCCTGGGTTTTGTTTCACCTAGAAAATGAAACTTCTCTCATTGTATAAGAAACACATGCTTGTTTTGATGGAGCTTTTTGGTCTCCGTTTATGGTCAGTTCCTGGGAGTATTGGGGCATGATTCCACCTGGTCATGCTGAATCAGTCAAAGGAGATGCCTCAGGCCTTCAACCAGCCTCTACTGTGGGCAGAGATGAAGTGTGGTGGCTGCTCTAAAAGAGGTGCAGCTCTGGGGAGGAGAGAAGTGGCTCAGCAGGATCCAGAAAAGGGACACATGCTTAGTTCAGTGTCTGCACAAATCCATGTAGAAGGCAATCCTTCTCTTTCACTGCTGACTTCTGTGATTTAAATGATTCCAGCTTAATTTTTCTATGGTGCAAAAGCCCTTTCTCTGATCCATGATACATGTTACTGTCACTAACTGTGCCTTTGCTTTGTTTGAAAAAGCACCTGGTTTGCCTGAGGTGGACCTGAACAAGCTCAAGAAGTGGGCCCTGGGGAACCTCATGAGGTTCAACAAGGCCAAGGGCAAGGTGCTAAACCAGGGCAACCTCTGGTACTGATACAGGCTGTGGGGTGAAGGAATTGAAAGCAGCTCTGAGAAGGACTTAGCAGAACTGGTAGATGAAAAGCTGGACATGACCCAGCAATGTGCACTCACAGCCCAGACCCTGGGCTGCATCAAAAGCAATGTGTCCAGCAGGTTGAGGGGAGGTGATTCTGCCCCTCTGCTCTGCTCTGGTGAGACCCTACCTGGAGTGCTGCACCCAGCTCTGAAGCCCCCAGTACAAGAAAGGCATGGAACTGTTGGAGCAGGTCCAGAGGAGGGCTGTGAAAATGATCAGAGGGCTGGAGCACCTCTCCTGTGAGGAAAGGCTGAGAGAGCTGGGGTTGTTCATCCTGGAGAAGAGAAGGCTCCAGGGTGACCTTTATGGTGGCCTTTCAGTGACTAAAAGGGGCCTATAGGAAAGCTGGAGAGGGACTTTTCTCAAGGGCATGTAGTGATAGAAAAAGGAGGAATGGCTTTAAACTGAAAGAGGGCTTTAGATTAGATGTTAGGAAGAAATTCTTTACTGTGAGGGTGGTGAGGCACTGGAACAGGTCGCCCAAAGAAGTTGTGGATGCCCTGTCCCTGGAAGTGTTCAAGGCCAGCTTGGATAGGGCTTTGAGCAACCTGGTCTAGTGGAAGGTGTCTCTGCCCATGGCAGTGGGGTCAGAACTGGATGATCTTTAGGGTCCCATCCAAACCATTCTGTGATTCTGTGTATCACCTCCTGCAGCCAGTGCCCTCCCAGTTCTCTAAGTGTCTTATTAATATTTCTGTGTTTTGTAGCCTACATACCTGTTATTAGTGTCCTAGATGAGAAATCACAGGATGTATTTTGCATGACCTAATGTTGTACAAATGGGGGAAATTGTCAGTAAATTATTTCCTGTCAGTTTTTCTGTTTTCCTCTTTCCCTGGCTGTGTC